CGCGCCGCAGTCGCCGCCCGCCGCGGACCTCACGGGGAGCGCCAAGAAAAGGAAGCGGGAGCGGGAAAAGAAGAGGAAGCAACGCAAAGACCCCGACTTCCGCCAGAGGGACAACAAAAACCGCACCGCGCGCCGGAGGAAGGCGCGCGGGGCCGCGGACGCGAGCTAGCACGCGGCTTTGGAACGTCGTCTCTTGGATAAATACCCGAGTCCTAACGACGGGGAAAGTCCGCGTGGGGCGCGCCGTCGCGCGCCTCGCGCGCCCCGGCGCCTGTCGGCGCCTTCGGCGCCTTCGGCGCCTCATTTTTTTCTTTTTTTTTCCTTTCTTTTTTTTACCCGGCCGTCCCACGACACGGAAAAATTGCCAATAATTGTCCGGCCGCGGGTTCAACCAAACCTGCGATCTTTTGTCCGGTTACCCTAGCTAAGCTATTCGAGCTGGCCCTATCATTGAAGCCTGCAACATTGTGTTGAAGTTCCACTCGTGGCCTCCGGACGCGCCTGCCGCGCCCGCCCGTCCGGTCGCCGCCAGAGCGTGCGCGCGACAAGAAAGAAGTCCAGACTATGGGCAAATGTAGCGCGCGTCCGCCGCCGCGCCGCGGCCGCGCCGCGCGGCGTCCGCGGACGCGCGCGAAGACACGGCAGAATATACGCGCGCGGTCACGACGCGTCCTTGGTCGGCTTCACGGCCGTCCGGTCGATGGGCGGCAGGGCGTAGCGCTGCGCCTCCTCGCGCGCCTCCGCGAGTTGACGGCTCGCGTCCTCGTGCGTGAGCCGGTTCGTCTCCTCGACCTGGCTCTGCACGGACACCCAGGTGACGTACTTGAAGGCGTAGCCGAAGACGAAGAGGCCGCCGGCGACGGCCCAGAGGCGGCGCAGCTGCTGGTCGGCGGCTCCCATGCCCTCGGCGCGGCGGTCATGCACGGCGCCGGCGCGGCGGGCTGGGTCGCGCGAGCGCGAGTTTCGCGCGCGTGGCGACGCGGGGAGCGGCGCGGGGTCGCGAGCGTGGTGTTTTGTGGTAGGCGGTGCGGCGGCGCGACGCTGGAGCGCGTGCTGCGCGCGTCGAGCTGCCCCAGGCACAGGCTTTGCCACAGGCTGTGGCCCACAGCAGATCCACAGCGGATTTTGGCCGGGGTGTCGAGCCAAGCTCGCCGTCGACCGCTGAGCCGCCCGCTGGAGCGCCTCTAAACTCGCGGTCGCGTCCTCGTCGCGTGCTCGTCGCGCGCCGCGCCGCCCTCGCCGCAACCATGTCGATGGTCTTCGACGAGTACGGGCGGCCCTTCATCATCTTGAAGGAGCAGCAGCAGAAGAGCCGCATCAAGGGCTTGGAGGCGCAGAAGCACAACATCATGGCCGCGCGGTCCGTGAGCAACATCCTGCGCACGTCCCTGGGCCCCAAGGGCATGGACAAGATGATGGTGAGCCCCGACGGCGACATCACGATCACGAACGACGGCGCGACGATCCTGGACAAGATGGCCGTCGAGCACCAGGTCGCGCGGCTCCTCGTCGAGCTGTCGCAGTCCCAGGACGACGAGATCGGCGACGGCACGACGGGCGTCGTCGTGCTCGCCGGGTCGTTGCTGGAGCAGGCCGAGAAGCTGCTGGACAAGGGGCTCCACCCCGTGCGCATCGCCGAGGGCTTCGAGACCGCGTGCAAGGTCGCGATGAAAACGTTGGGCGACGTCGCGGACACCGTGGCCTTCGACAAGACCAAGGACGACAAGGTCCTCGTGGAGACGGCCATGACGACCCTGAGCTCGAAGATCATCAACGTGCACAAGCGGAAGATGGCGCAGATCGCCGTCGACGCGGTCATGTCCGTCGCGGACGTCGACCGCAACGACGTCAACTTCGACATGATCAAGATGGAGGGCAAGCCCGGCGGGCGCCTCGAGGAGACGGAGCTCATCAAGGGCATCGTCATCGACAAGGACATCTCCCACCCCCAGATGGCCAAGGAGATCAAGGACGCCAAAATGTGCATCTTGACGTGCCCCTTCGAGCCGCCCAAGCCCAAGACGAAGCACAAGCTCGACATCACGTCCAAGGAGGACTACGACAAGCTCTTCGCCCGCGAGCAGCACTACTTCAAGGAGATGGTCGCGCAGTGCAAGGCCTGCGGCGCGAACATGGTCATCTGCCAGTGGGGCTTCGACGACGAGGCGAACCACCTGCTCCTGCAGGCGGGCCTGCCGGCCGTGCGCTGGGTCGGCGGCGTGGAGCTGGAGCTCATTGCGATTGCTACGGGCGGCCGCATCGTCGCGCGCTTCTCCGAGCTGTCCGAGGCGAAGCTCGGCAAGGCGGGCTGCGTCCGCGAGGTCGCGTTCGGAACCACCAAAGAGCGCATGCTCGTCATCGAGGACTGCGCCTCCAGCGAGGCCGTCACGGTCCTCGTGCGCGGCGGCAACAAGATGATCGTCGAGGAGGCGAAGCGCAGCCTCCACGACGCGATGTGCGTCGTGCGGAACCTCGTCAAGGACAACCGCATCGTCTACGGCGGCGGCGCGGCGGAGATCGCCTGCTCCATCGCCGTGTCCAAGGCCGCCGACGACGCCACGGGCCAGGACCAGTACGCCATCCGCGCCTTCGCCGACGCGCTCGACGACGTGCCCATGGCCCTCGCGGAGAACTCGGGGCTCTCGCCGATCACGGAGCTCACGGCCGTCAAGGCCAAGCAGCTCGCGGAGAAGAACCCGAACCTGGGCGTCGACTGCCTCCAGCAGGGCACCAACGACATGAAGCAGCAGAAGGTCTTCGAGACCCTCATCGGCAAGCAGCAGCAGGTCCAGCTCGCGACGCAGGTCGTCAAGATGATCCTCAAGATCGACGACGTCATCATGCACGGCTCCTACGCCTAGGGGGCGCGCGCCCCGGCGAAAAGGCGCGCCCCGGGCCCCGGCCGCGCCCGGTTTAACCTCGACATCCGACTCTGCACGGGTCAGCGAGCTTCAAGAAGTCGTTCAAGGGCGCTTCATCATCGACCTTGCACTTGGCGAGGCAGCATGGCAAAGGCCGAAGCATTACCAGCGGAGGCCGACCTCCCCGTAAAGACGGAGGCCGAGGCCGAGGAGGTCTTAGAAAAGGCGCAACGGCCGTCCGGCGCCGCGTCGGCGACGGCCTGGGCCTGGGAGGACGACGGCGCCGGCGCGCCGGCGCCGACGGTGCGCCGGTGCGCGCGGCCCGGCTGCTGCACGACGGAGCCCGTCGCCGGCGACGGCGGCAGGAAGTTCGCGGCCTGCGCGCGGTGCGGCGCGCGCTTCTGCGGCCGCGACTGCCAGGTCGCCGACTGGAAGAAGGGCGGCTGCCACAAGCGCATGTGCCCGCAGATCGCCGCGCTCCGCGACGGCGGCTTCTCCCGGGACCAGCGGCGGGACGCCGTGCTGCGCGGCTGCCTCGGCCGCGTGCGCATGTACGCCTTCCCCCACTTCGTGTGCCACCGCGCGCTGCGGGGCGCCGGCGCGGTCCTGCTGCACTCGAAAACGCCGCTCGAGGACTTCTACCTCGACGGCCCCGTGAACCGGCGCGGCGACCGCATGGACCGCAGCCTCGTCGTCGCCTTCGTCCCCGCGGACGACTTCGCGACCGAGGGCCTCGGCCTGCCGCGGGCGGCGCGCGACGCGCTCGCGGCCACCGCGGCGGCGTGCGGCGACGACCGGGCGACGGTGCTCTGCAAGTTCGGCTGCGGCGCCACCTGCGTCTTCGCGACGGACATCGTCCCCGCGCTCCCCGTCTGCAACGCCCTCGCCAAGGACTACGAGGACCAGCCCGTCCTCCAGCTCAACGTCGACGGGTAGCCGACTTAACTCCCGCTCCGGTTAGCCGTCGCTAAACACGGCCGCGAAGGGGAAGTCGTCGGCGAGGAACGGGTGGAAGAGCGCCTCCCGGGGCGTCGCGCGGTGGTCCGGGTCGAGCTCGAGCATGGCCGCGGCGAAGGACGCGAACGCGCCGTCGCCCGGTTGTCGCGGCGGGAAGTCGCGCAGGAGCCGGCGCACGGCGTCCCGGTGCCGCCGCCGCCGGTCGCCGTCGTCGGCGGGCGCCGGCGCGCTCCCGAGGTCGTCGACGACGAACCGCGCGCCGGCGAAGCGCGCCGCGGGGAACGGCCCGAGCGCGGCTTCGATCGCCGCGCGCGCCGCGCCGCGGTCCGCCCGCGCCGGCCGCAGCAGCGCCCGCCCGAGCGCCGCTTCCACGAGCACGACGCCCAGCGAGAACATGTCGATGGCGTAGCCAAAGGGCACGCCCGCGAGCACCTCGGGCGCGCGGTAGCCCAGCGACTGGATCTCGAAATCGTCGTAATACCTGTGTGGAAATCAACCAGTGGAACGCCCTGTCCAGCAAAAACTTCAAACCTCTCGAGCTCGGCCAAATCGAAGTCGATTCGGCTGATTTTTGGACGAATCTATTGCTCTCGTCGAGTTCTCGAAGCACTGCCGAAGAGCTTGCGTCGAAACCGTCGCGTACGCTCACATTGAAGTCGGGTTGAAGATTTGATTTCCACACAGCGTAGTACCGCACCGCCTCGCTCGGCCGGATCGCGTTCCCGAAGTCGATGAGCCGCACCTCGGCGTCGACGCCGAGCACGGGCCGAGCGCACAGCACGTTCTCCGGCTTGATGTCCGCGTGGATGACGCGCTTCGCGCCGCAGTAGGCCAACGCCGCCACGAGCTGGCTCGACACGCGGCGGACGTCGCGCTCGCCCAGAGGCCCCGACTGCTTCACGAGTTCTCCTAACGATGGACCGCAGGCCTCCATGGCGATGACGTAGTGGGGCCCGCTCTCGTGGGCGCCGAAGAACTCGGGGATCGCGAGACCTCGAGCGCCCTGCAACAACGCCAGCACCGCCGCCTCGCGGCGCCCGACCTCGCGAAAGCCCGCGGCGAGCACCTTGACGGCGACGCGCCGCCGCCAGTGGGGGAAGAGGCGGTCCTCGACGAGGGCGATGCGCGAGAACGTGCCGTCGGCGAGCGTCTTCGTGATCCGGAACCGGCCGCATAGCAGGCCGTCGAGCGGCTCCGCGGCCGTCGCGCCCGCGGCCGCGAGGCGCGCGACGGACGCCGCCGACGGCACGCCGTGGCGCTGGGGCGTCTCGGCGCAGGCGCGCGCGACGAGCGGCGCGCGCTCCCGCGCGCCGCCGCGGTAGCTCCGGCTCAGGTTGTGCGACGGCACGTAGGCGCGCATCGTCGCCTCGCGATGGCGCGAGCGGCGGCGCGCGCGATGTCGCACGCGATGGGCGATGCCGTGCGCTGCGGTGCGGAGCGCTGCGGCGCGCGCGCACGGGTGCGGTGCAGCGCTGCGCGTCGAGGCGCTCTCTGAGAGAGCGCTCTGCGGTCCACCGTGCCGCACGCCTCCGAGCACTCCTGCGGCACCCGCGCCGCGCGCGGCCTCCGCGCCGCCCGCGCCGCCCCGACAAGAACGGACCTTTACGACATGGCGCAGTCCCAGGGCGTGACGTGCTTGACCGTGTCGTTCGTCGGCGAGGACGCGAGGAACGCGGCGATCGTGTCCGCGCCGCCCTCGGGCGAGCCCGGCGGGAGCGTCCGGTGGACGTACTCCTCCCGCATGATGCGCGCGGCCTCGTCCTCGAAGCCCCGGAGGACGTGGACGTAGGCGTCGTCGTAGTAGAGGTTCTGGGTCTCGTAGGGGTCCGCGTCGACGTCGAACAGAAAGTTCATCGCCGAGCTGTCCATGCAACTCTGCGTGTTGAAGGACCCCGTGACCTCCTCGCCGACCTTGAACCAGGTGGAGTTGGAGCGCTGGTACATGTATTTGTAGTTCTTCATGCGCAGCGTCGCCGCCTCCGCGGTGACGGAGAAGGCGACCTCGTCGCGGATCTCGTACTTGTCGTCGGAGTTGGACGAGATCGCGGACCAGTGGTCCCGCGAGTCGCAGTCGGAGCAGTCCAGCAGCGTGCCGGCTAAACCCCGGAGGAACGTCGCCGTCCAGTCGACGTGGTGCATGAGGCCGTCGTAGGTGCCGCGCGACGCCAAACGCGTCGGCGAGTAGACGAACGCGGGCAGCTTCAAACCCCCCTCAAAGTCGAAGAACTTCATGCCCCGGTAGGGCGCGTTCGAACTGTCGCAGTAGGTGCCGCAGGGCGAGCCGCCGTTGTCGCTGTGGACCACGAGCACGTAGTCCGAGGACCGCTTCTCGAGCCGCTGCTGGAGCAGGCCGACGCCGTGGTCGACCGCGTGTAAAGCGATGCCGAAATTCCGCCGCCGCTCCTCCAGCGCCTCGAGCGCCGCCGCGGGGTAGTCGAGGCCCGACGCGTTGGACTGCTTGTCGTCGTGGACGCCGTGGTACGCGACGTAGAGGTAGGTCGGGTTCTCCACGGAGAAGCCGTCGATGCGCCGGAGAGACTCGTTCGTGAACAAAATCGTCGAGTACTCGCCGATGACCGACGCGTCGGACAAACAGCCCTGGGGCGTGCAGCGCTGCATGTCCACCAGCGAGTAGTCCCGGAAGTGGCGCGTGAACGAGTTCTCCACGTTGCCCGATTGCTCGACCTCGTGGCTCACGTAGCCGATGCCCGCGCCGTAATACCCTAAATAGGACTTGAAGCCCCGGCTCGGCGGCAGGAACGCGGCGTTGCAGTGGCCCAGATTCCACTTGCCCACGCCGTGGACCTCGTAGCCCGCCGTCGCCAGCCGTTGGGAGAGGAAGATCTGGTCGCCGGCGTTCGCCAAGCTAAAGTTGCCCCACGCGGATATCTCGAGCGTCGCCGCGCTGTCGACGTCGACGTTGGCGAAGCCCGTGCGGTGGCCGAACTTGCCGCTCATCAACGCGGCGCGCGCCGGCGTGCAGAACGCCTGGCCGTAGTAGTTCGTCAGGCGCACGCCGTCCTGCGCGAGCGCGAGCATGTGCGGAAAGACCTCGGGCGCCAAATCCTGGCTGTCCCAGAGGTCGTTCATGCCCACGTCGTCGAGCACGACGTGGACGATGTCCGGCCGCCCGGCGCCCACGGGCACGTCCGACAGTGTTTTCACTGCGCTTTTCGCGGACCGCGGCCGCGACACGTCGACGCGGATGGACGGCGCACCGGCGCTCATGTTCGCCGGGACCGCCGTCCGCCGCCAGGGCACGAACACCGCCAGCGCGAGGGCGCTCCCGACGGCCGCCGCCGCGGCGAGGGCCGCGGTCCGCCGCCGCCACGGCGCGGCGTCGGCCATGCTGGGGCAGCCTCACCTCGCGACACGCCCGCCAAAGCGCGGATACGAAGGGTGATGTTGCCCTTAGGCTTCATAAGGTGCATTTCTTGTGGCAAGACATCGGTGACCGCGGTCGGGCGTCCGACCATACGCGATGGACGGCGCGGGCCGGTGGATGGACGACAGCGCGTCGGCGAGCTGCCTGCTCTGCACGTCGCCCTTCTCCTTCACGAACCGGCGGCACCACTGCCGGAGCTGCATGCGCCTCGTCTGCGGCCCCTGCAGCAGTCGGAGCATGCGCCTCGGCCCCGTGCGCAGCGACGGTTCCCGGCGGCCGCCCGCGGCGCCGACGCTGCGGTCCGCCTTCGCGACCATGGGCAAGATCACGAGCCAGGTCGCGACGCTGGGTTCGGTGGGGGGATTGGAGGAGGACGCGTCCGCGGAGGAGCGGGTCTGCGACGACTGCTGGGCGACGCTCGGCGGCGCGGCGCTCGGCGGCGACGAGGCGCGCGCGTCGACGCCCGTCGCGGACGGCCGCGACGACGCGACGTACGCCGTCACGGTCGTCCAGGCCGCGCGCCTACCGCTCGGCAAAGACGCGGGCCTCTTCGGCGACTCGCCGCGCCAGCCGTCGGCCTTCGTGGAGTTACGGTCCGAGGGGCGCCTCGTCGGGTCCACGGAGCCGCTGCCGGAGACGCGCGACCCGGCCTGGCGCGCGACGTTCGAGGTCGTCGTCGCGGGCCAGTCGAGGCGGCGCGCGGCCTACGTGACGCTCGCGATCTTCGACCGGAAGCGCGCGGGCCCCCACGGCGTCAAGCTGCCCCAGAGCGGCCCGCGCGACGAGCGCGTCGGCGCCTGCCGCGCGTTCCTCAACGGCGCGCCGACGCAGTGGCTCGAGATCGTCGGCGGCGCGGGCGAGCCGGGCGGGCTCTTGCGGGTCGACGTCGCGCGCGTCTCCGGCGAAGCGCCCGCGGCGCGGGCCGCGCCGCGGCCGCCGCGCTGCGCGGACATCGACGGCGGTTCCTGGCCCGCGCGCCTCGACGCGCTCTACCCGCCGGGGTCGGCCGTCCACGGCGCGTGCTTCGTCGCGTTCGCGCCGGGCCAGTACGCGCCCCTCGACGAGATCGTGCTCGAGGTGCTCGCGGACGTGTCCGGCTCCGCGTCGCCGAGAGCGCCGCGAAGGCGCGGCGCGCTCCTGTTGACGTCGCACCGGCTCCTCTTCGTGCCCGAGGCCTCCGACGGCGCGCCCTTCTTCGTGCCCCACGCGACGTGCCTCGACGTGCGGGTGGAAGCGCCGCCGCCGGGCTCGAACACGGACGCGCTGGCGCTCTGCGTGGTGACGCGCGACTTTCGAAAATTCGAGTTCACGTCGCGGACGGCGACGAACCGCGACTTCCACTGGTACCGGTCGGAGATCCGCTGGCGCACGCGCGAGGACCGGTTCCACCGCCCGGCGGCGGCCAAGGCCGCGACGCGAACCGAGGCGGCGGTCGACACCGCCCCGGCCGAGGCCGCCGAGGCGGTCTCGGAGCCCCCGGCGGATTCTTCGGAGAAACCGCTCACGAAGCGGCAGCAGCGGCGCGTCGCGCTCAAGAAATTCCTCAAGGCCGGCGAGGGCTCGGGGCCCAACGCGCCCGACGCGGGCGCGGACGTCGACCTCCTCGCCGAGTTCCGGCGCCAGGGCGTGCTCGACGACCACCGCTGGCGCCTCACGGAGACGAACGCGCTGTACGCGTTGTGCCCCACGTACCCGTCGACCCTGGTGGTGCCGGCGGCGCTGACCGACGCCGTGTTAGCCGACGCCGCGCGCTGGCGGTCCAAGGCGCGCGTGCCCGTGCTCACGTGGTACAACCGGGCGTCGGGCGCGCCGATCTGCCGGAGTAGCCAGCCCCACGCGGGCTTGACGGACAAGGTCATGGCCGAGGACGAGGCGAGCCTGATGCATCTCCGGGCGGCGACGTCGCGGACGAACGCCGGGCGCCTCTTGGCCGACTCCTTCGACGACGACGGCCGCGGCGCGCCCGCCACGCCGGGCAAGGACGACGGCGACAGCGACGACGACGTCGTCGAGATCTCCGCCGTGTCGCCCAAGGCCCGCGGGACGGGCGCGCCGGTCCTGCGCATCGTCGACTGCCGGCCCGTGCTCAACGCCAAGGCGAACGCGGCCATGGGCAAGGGCCACGAGGTCATGAGCCGCCTCGGGGGCAAGGAGTCCGCGACGCTCGAGTTCCTGGACATCGCGAACATCCACGGCATGCAGGAGTCGTTCCGCGTGCTGCGCGAGGCGCTGGGGGCGCCCGACGAGGGCGACGGCGTCTACCGCGCGGTCCACGACTCGCGCTGGCTCAATCACGTGTCCCTCCTGCTCCGAGGCGCCGTCGCGGTCGCGGACCACTCCGCGGGCGGCGACCCGGTCCTCGTGCACTGCTCCGACGGCTGGGACCGGACGGCGCAGGTCTGCGGGCTCGCCCAGTTCCTGCTGGATCCGTATTGTCGGACCATCGACGGCTTCGGGGTGCTGGTGGAGAAGGACTGGTGCGCGTTCGGCCACATGTTCCGGGAGCGGGGGGGGTTCGGTAGCGATCCCCAACAGGAGACGGGCCCCATCTTCCTCCAGTTTTTGGACGCCGTGTCCCAGATCATGTGGCAGTGCCCGACGGCCTGCGAGTTCACGGAGGAGTTCCTGGAAGTGTTGGCGGACGCGGAGCGGAGCCGGTGGTTCGCGAACTTCCTCCGCGACTCGGACCGCGACCGCGCGCGGGAGAACTCCGGGTCGCCGCGGGGCCCCGGCCGCACGCCCCGGGGCGCGGCGCGGCCGCGGCCGGAGGAAAACGACGAGGCCGTGTCCATCTGGCGCGTCTTCGCCTTCCAAAGGGACCGGTTCTCCAACGCGCTCTACGACCGCGACGGCGCGAAGGCGCTGCGCTGTGTGCAAATCAAATCTTCAACTCGACTTCAATGTGATCGTATTCGAATGTTTTGACACAAGCTTTTTGGCTGTGCTTCGAGAACTCGATGAGAGCAATCGATCCGTCCAGAAATCAGCCGAATCGACTTCGATTTGACCGAGCTAGAGAATTTCAAAGTTTGGTCGGGACGTCCCAAACCAGTGGTTGATTTGCACACAGGCGCTGCGGCCCAACGCGTCGCTCCAGGCGCTGCGCCTCCGGCCGAGCTACCTCCACGCCGAGGACGTGTCGCCGGAGGTCGCCGCGCTCCGGGCGAGGATCCGCGCGCTCGAGGCGGAACGGGCGGGCGACGACGACGGCTTCCACGACGCGCGCGCGCCGCCCCGGAGCCCCCAGCTCGAATAAGCGCTCTTAGCCGCGCCCCTTCTTGAACGCCTTGTGCTTCCGCTTGGCGCCCTGGGCGTGCTTCCGCGCGTTGCGCCGCGCCTGGTGCGCCTTCGCGGGCGCGGCGTCCTTCCGCGGCGCCGCTTCCGGCGCGAAGTCGTCGAGCTCCCTGAGCTCGGCGTCGAAGTCGTCCTGGGAGATCTTGCCCTTCTTCAGGCGCTTGTGGAGCCGCTCCTCGGCCGCGAGGTCGTCCCACTCGTCCATGATCTTCGCGTGCTGGCCCTTGCGCTTCCGCGGGCCGTCGTCGCGCTTCGCCGCGGGCTTCTTCGGGGGCGCGTCGCCGCCGGCGGCGGCCGCGCGCAGCTCCTCGCGCTTCTGTTTCCGCGTCTCCTGCTCGGCGGCGTAGCGCTTCTGCCGCGCGGCCTCGCGCTTCTCGTCCTTGAAGGGTATCGCGCCCGTGCGGACGTCGCTCCGTTCGAACGCCGTGAGCTTGCCCGCCTTGGCGAGCTTGCGGAGCTCGGGCATCTCCGGCAGCTTCAGGAGCGCGAAGAGGCGCGCGACGGAGCCGACGTCGACCTTCTCCCAGCGGAAGATGAAGGGCAGCCGGTGCTCGAGGTAGCTTCGGACCCAGCTCGTGAACGCCGTCGTTCCTTTTTCCAGTAACGCCCGGTCGTCGACGCAGGCCGCCTGGAGCGCGCCGTGGTAGACCGTCGCGGCTTCTTCCAAACCCTCCGGCGCCGCGACCTCGCCCGCGGGCGCGCCGCGGAGCTTGAGCAGCTCCGAGTACGAGTCCTCGTGCCTCTCGAGGAACAGGAGCGCCGCGCCCGGCCGCCCCGCGCGCGCCGTGCGGCCGACGCGGTGCACGAAGGTCTCGGGCTTCTGCGGCGCGTCCCACTGGACGACGAGTTCCACGTCCTCGACGTCCAACCCCCGCGCGGCGACGTCGGTGCAGAGGAGCGCGACCGGTCGTTCCGCGACCTGTGTGGAATTCAAATATTCAACCCGACTTCAATGTGCGCATATGCGACAGTTTCGACGCAAGCTCTTCGGCTGTGCTTCGAGAACTCGACGAGAGCAATCAATTCATCCAAAAATCAACCAAATCGACTTCGATTTGATCGAGCTAGAGAATTTCAAAGTTTGGTCAGGACCATCCAAACCAGTGGTTGAATTCCACACAGGCCGACACCTCGCGGAACGCGGCCCAGACGGCGCGGCGCTTCTTCGGCACCATCTTGCCGTGGAGCGCGCGCATCTCCGGCAGATCGTCCGGGAAGGCCGCCGCCGCGGCCTTGAGGCACCGGTCGAAGAAGTCGACGGCGGCGCAACTCGAGAGGAAGACGAGGGTCTTCCTCGGTTTGCGTTCCCGGAGCACGGCGAGGAGCGCCGCGAGCTTGTGCTCGGGCCGGAGCACGACGTACTCGTTGAGTAGCTCCGGCGGCAGGACGCGCTTCTCGCCGGAGGCCTCGGCCCGCTGGACCCGGACTCGGACCGTCGCCGGATTCCGGAGCCCCGCGCGCGCGAGCTCCGCGACGGCGCGCGTCTGCGTCGCGGAGAAGAGCGCCGTGCGCCGCTGGCGCGGCAGGGCCCGCATGATGCGCTCGAGCTCCTCGGCGAAGCCGAGCTCGAGGAGCGTGTCGGCCTCGTCGAGCACGAGGACGGCGACGCGGCGGCCGTCCATCGCGCCCCGCTTCAGCAGGTCGTCGAGGCGGCCGGGCGTCGCCACGACGACGTCGTCGCGGACGGCCCGCTCCATGGCGGCGCCGCCGACGACGAGGGACGCCGCGAGCGCCTTGGCGGCGCAGAGCTTCCGGAGCACGGCGAACGTCTGCGTCGCGAGCTCCCGCGTCGGCGACACGCAGACGCAGCGCGGGCCCGGGCCGGGCTCGTTGGCCTTCGCGGCGGCGACGAGCTCGACGGCCGACGCGCCGAAGGCCAGCGTCTTCCCGGAGCCCGTGACGGCCTCGGCGACGACGTCCTTGTTGCCCAGCATGAGCGGGATCGACGCCGCCTGCACGGGCGTCATGACTTTGAAGCCGAAGTCGTCGGCGATGCAGGCCAGGGTCTCCGGCGAGAGGCCCGTCGCCGCGAAGGACCGCGGGTCCATTGGAGCGCCGGCACGCGGCACTACGGCCTTGGCTTCGGCCATCGCTGATCGTGTTCGGCAAAGTGCTGTGCTCCTTGAACCTTCGGCTGCCCGAGATGGGCCGCCTCGCGGCCTGCGCCGTGGTCCTCGCTTCCCGTGCAGGCGGCCTCTACCTCGACGTGCCCGTCGACGGCCGCGTGCTGACCATCGAGTACGAGGCGAGCAACACCTACACGGAGCTGTGGCGCTACGCCGAGGCCTTTGAGGCCGAGCACGGCCTGCGGCGCTTCTACGACCAGTGGGCCAAGTGCGCGCCCGTGATCTACGCGCGCTACAAGTGCGTCACGTCGGAGATCCTCAAGGCCATGCAGGCGCACCGCGACGCCGCGCACGCGCTCGCCAAGGACTTCGCGTACCGCGCGATGGGCCGATGGGACGCCTTTTACGCCGCGGGCGACGACGCGTGCTTCGCGGCCTACTGCGCCGCGCACGCGGACCTGGCGGACGCGCTCTGCGGCGGCGCGGCCTGCGACGCGCCGGGCCCGCTGCGGGCCTGCCGCGAGCACTGGGAGGGCTACGGCCGGGCCGAGGGCCGCGAGCCGGACCCGGACGCGTGCTCCGCGGCTAAAGAGACCGTCGCCGTGGCCGCCGACGGGTCCGCGGACGTCGCCGACGGGTCCGCGGACGTCGCGGTCCACGAGGACCTCTTCCGCGCCTTCGACGACCCGGCGGCGCTGACGGCGCTCGACTTTGGCTGCGGCGCGGGCCCGCGGTTTTTCGCGCACTCGCGGCGCTTCGCGCGGCTCGACGGCGCGGACACGTCCAAGGTCGCCCTCGAAGCGGCCCACGCCTACGTCCAGGAGCGTGTCGCGGACCGCGCCTACACGCTCTACCACAGCGACGGCCTCGAGCTCGACGCGGTCCCGGCCGACGCGTACGACGCCGTCGTCAGTTTCGACGCGCTCTCGCGGATCCCCTTCCACGCGACGCGCTACCGCCTGCTCGAGGAGTTCTTCCGCGTGCTCAAGTGCGACGGCAGAGCGAGCCTCGCCATGGGCTTCGGTGCGTTCCACGGCAGCGTCGCGGGCTACCGCGACGACGTTCCCGTCGACGACGGCGCGGACGTCCAGGTCGCCTTCGACGACCCGGACCTGCTCGTCCACGACTTGGACCGCGTCGGGTTCCGCGACATGGCCTACTGGATTTCAACGGGCGGCTCGGGAACCCACGCGAAGACGCTCGTCGTCGCCGGGCGGAAGCAGTGCCCGCTCTGGAACATTCGGGTCTTCATCGGGAATCGTTCGGAACCGGAGACCCTCGAGGAGCTGCCCCAGGCCCAGGGCACGAACCGCAAGTACGTCGACGCCGAGATCCCCCGAAAGCGGCCGACGGTGTCAGGGGTGCGGGAGGAGCTGCGGAACATGAAGACGACGGAGCTCGTGAAGCGCGCGCGGCGCGACGGCGTCAGCCCGGAGACCATCGACGACGCGCTCGACGCGGACGCGCCCCGGGACGCGCTCGCCGAGGTGCTGCTGGCGCACTGGGACCTCGACGACGAGGGCGGCGAGCCGGACGAGTGGCCCTGGTGGGCCTGAGTTCGAGCACCGCCGGAGGCGTACGCGTCCCGCGGCGGCTAATGGTGAGCCGGGGGGATGCAAGGTGAAGCAGTGGTGAAGTGCAAAGCGTCAGTGCGTCTCGCCTCTGCTTGCCGTCGACGAGCGCCGACAGCGCGTGCTCGAAGCAGCCGCATCACCACTGCATCGCTCTGCCGCCGCCGCATCGCTGCCGCCGCCGCGTCGCTGCCGCCGCATCGCTGCTGCGCCGCATCGCTGCGCCGACGTCCCGGCACCGCCGCGTCGCCGCGCCGCCGCGCCGCCGCCATCCATGGATCCCGAGCTGCGGAGCCTCATGGTCGACGCGTCCGTGTCGCGCATCCAGCAGCAGGGCGCGCTGCGGCGGCGCGCGCGGCGCGACGTCGCCGTCAACGCATCGCTGCTCGCGGTGTGCGTCGTCGGCCTGGCCGCGCACGCGGCCGACGCGCGCGCCGTCGCGAGCGGCTGCTTCGCGCTGCTCGGCGCCTTCATGGCCTACGCCGTCTACATCGCGCTCTGCGCCATGAAGGCCTACACCGTCTCCGTCGGCAACCTCCCGGAGCCCGAGCACGACTCCGACGACTCCGCCTACGGCCACAGCCACTTCCACGGCCACGAGAGCTCGGACTCGGATAAGGAGGACTAGGAGCGGAGTCGGAGCGGCGTCGCTGCGAGCGCGGGTCGTCATGCGTCGTGCGCGGGAAACTTCAACTTGCATGTTGGAGGTCCAGTTGACCCCGAAGGAGAGCCGGGCACGATGTGCGCCCAGCTCAGAGACGAGCTCACTTGCTAGCGTAGGATCGATGCGACCAACTCGTGGCGGCCTCGTCGCGACGGCGGCGCTGCTGCTGGTTCGAGCGACCATGTCGTCGGCTGGCGGCGGCGGCGGCGCCTGCAATGACACGGCCGGCGACGACGTCGTCCGGCGGCAGCCGCGCCAGGTCGCCCACGTGGACCACCTTGCGCTGCCGCACAGCGGTTCGACGACCGTGGCGACGGCGCTGCGGCGCGCGCTCGAGGCGCGGGCGCTCTTGGGCGCCGCGTCGTGCGCGAAATGCTCCGCCGCGGCGTGCGGTGCCGACGCGCCGCTGCCGGTCCGCGCGACGCTCGTCTACCGCGCGGGCCACGCGCACTTCCCGCTCGCGGAGCGCCGCGCGCACATCGCCTCGGACTGGGCCGACGGCGCCGTCTCCCGCGCGCGGGAGGCGTCCGGCGGCGCGCGCCAGGCGGAGCACGAGACGCGCGTGGGCCTCCGCGGGCCCTCGCCGCGCGTCGCGCGCCCGGGCGCCGTCGTCACGGTGCACGTGCTGCGGGAGCCGGTCACGTGGCTCTGGCGCACGCTGATGCGCTTCTCGTACATGCCCGTCGAGGGCGCGGCGCGGCGCGGCTCGCGGACGGCGTCCGGAGCGACGCACCGGGGCCGCGCGCGCGGCGAGCCCGCGTCGGCGTGGCTCGAGCGGAACCCGTTCGCGTGGAACATGCAGGCCCAGTTCCTCGCCGGCCGGCCCCGCTTCGACTGCAACCGGACGCTCGCGGCCGCGCGCGACGACGCGGATCCCGAAGCGCTGCTGCCGCGGGCCGAGGCCGAGCTCGCCGACGAGGCCGCGCTCGCCTTCGGGCTCTTCGAGCGCCTCGAGGACAGCGCCCAGCTCATCGCCCACGCCCTCTGCCTGCCCAAGGCCACCCTCGTCGCGGGCGTGCGCCGGGGCGAGGACGCCGCCGCCGCGGGGGGGCGGCGCCGGAGCGGCCGCGGACCGCGCGACGGGGGCCGAGGCGACGGACGGCGACCCGCGGTCGAAGACCCGCGCGGCGCGCGCGAGCCACGACCGCGACGCGCGCCTCCTCGCGCACCCCGCGGCCCGCGCCGCGGCGCCGGCGCGGCCGGCGCGGGCGGCGCCGAGCCGTACCACGGCGCCGTGCTGGACGCCGACGAGCGCGCCCGCATCGCCGCCCGCATGCGCCTGGATCGGGAGCTGTACGGCTACGCCGCGCGGCTCTTCGACGACCGCGTGGCCCGCATGCGCCGCGACGAGGCCGCCGGCGCGACCTGCCGCCCGGGCGGCGACGCCGCGTGCGCCCTGCGGTGTTCTTAATGTGGTGGTGCCATTGTCGACCAAGCTACTGGGGCCCTGCCCAGGATGCGGATGCGATCGCGAAGTGATCGCGAGGATCAACCTACTACAAGTAGCCGCGAAAGGTTGGCGTTGCACCATGAGTGCTGCCCGCGTTCAGAATTCAAAAACGATGGAATGGGCGGACGTGCACCAGAGCCTGCACCACGATCACGCGGCGTTTTGGGCGCCGCAGGAGACGCGGCGCGGCGCCCTGCGGGCGTCGAACCGGCGGTCGCCGCGGTCCCGGTCCGCGCCGCCGTCGAAGACGGAGGCGGCGCCGCCGAAGCTGCAGCGCCGCGACAGCCTGCCGCCGCCGTCGACGCCGCGGAAGGAGCCGCCCAAGGCGCGCACGCCGAGCACGTCCGCGAAGTGGCTCGGCGCCGGGTCCTGCGTGATCCTCGACGAGTACGCGGCGACCGCGACGCCCTCGCGGCCGGCGACGTCGCCCGCGCCGGACCTCGGCGGCGTCGTGGCCACGGCGCTGGACCTGGCGCACGTGCCCCTCGCGGAGCCGACGACGCCGAAGACGCCCGAGGGGGGGCTGCCGCGCGCGGAGCGCATGGTCTCGGCCGACTTCGAGGACGCGGGCGCCGCCGCGCCTCCGCTCGCGCTCGGCGGCGACGACGCGGCCCCGGCGCCGCCGGACCTCGAGGACGCGCCCGCGGCGGTGTCGACGCCGCCGGTCGTCGACGGGGCGGCGACGGCCACGCCCCGCTCGAGCCCGCCGCGGACGCCGAGGAGCTTCCTCCGCGAATTGCGCGCCTTCGAGGCGAAGGCGCTGATCCTCGACGAAGCGACGACGGCGCTCGTCCCTGAAGAGGAGACGACGCCGCAAGAGGAGACGGCGCCTCTCGTCCCCGAAGGGCCCTTTGTCCTCGAGGAGGCGACGACGCCGCAAGAGGAGACGACGCCTCTCGTCCCCGAAGCGCCCCTCGTCCTCGAGGAGGCGACGACGCCGCCGAGCCTCGAAAAGGAGCCCCGGCCGGCGGTCCGGCCGTGGGCGGCGCCCGCCGCGGTCCTGGTCCTCGCGGTCGCCGCCGCCTGCGTCCTCGCCTCTCCGGCGGCGCACCCGATCGTCGCCGACGACGTCGCCGCCGCGGCGCCCCGACGCGCGGCCGCGGCCCCGCCGCTCCTGCTCCCGCCGCCGCCGCCAAGCGCGTCGACGGCGCTCCCGGCGCCGCCGCCCCGCGCGTTGACGGAGCCGCCGCCGCCGCGCGCGTCGCCGGCGCCGCCGCCGCCGCGCGCGTCGCCGGCGCCGCCGGACCTCGCGGCGCCGGCGCCGCCGGACCTCGCGGTCGCGCTCCGCCGCGCGCCGCCCGCGCCGCCGCGCGCGCCGCCCGTCGACGTCGCCGCGGCGCCGCTCGTCGGCACCGACGTCGTCGTCGCGGCGGCGCCCGCGCCGCCGCCCGTCGTCCGCCGCGTCTTCGAAAAGCTCGCACGCCGACCTGCGCGCGTCTTCGCGGCGCTCCGCGCGGCGCTCGGCCGCCTTCGCCGGCTCCTCTTCGGCCGCCGCCGCCGCTAACATATCCCTAGGACGCGCACGCGGGGACGGCGGCGTCCGGGTACCGCAAAAACGCGACGCTCCGGGCCGGGAGCGCGAGCGGGCCGCCACGAGAGGAACGCGGCGGGAGTTCCGGGACGTCGCCCTCGGGGACGTCCAGCGCGGCGCCGTTGAGCGACACGTCCCGGAATTCCCCGGTAAGCACCCACTCGTCGCGGGCGCCGCCGAGGCCGACGTCGACGTCGACGGCCGCCCCGGGGTTCACGAGGGCCAGGGACGCGCCGCCGTCCGGCGCGCAGTGCGCGTACGCGTGCACTGCGTCGGACGACGAGAGCGCCCGGAGCACGCCGCGGCCCATGGTCCGAGTCCAGAGCCGCGCGACGTGGTAGTCCGGGTTCGGAGAGTAGTCCCGCGCGGCGTCGAGGAGGCCGTAGTCGCCCCCCGCGAGGCTCTGCCTGCCGAACTCGGGCGCGCCCGCGGCCGCCAGAGCGCCCAGCGCGTCCGCGTACCAGAACATGGATTCGACGGCGTCCGTCACGTTCGCCAAACCGCCGCCGTTGTGGGGGCCGCACTCGCCGCACCAGACCTTGGCGCGGCCGCCGACGGCCCGGGCCAGGGCCGCGTACTGGCGCTTCGTCTGGGACACGAAGCCCGGCGCGGGCCACGGGCCGTCGTTGTTGTACGAGTGCATGCATACGGCGTCGACGAGCGGCAGCACGTCTTCCAGGAACGCGTCGAAGAAGGGCGACGGCTCGCAGGTCGGGTCGCAGGCCGCGTCGCCGTCCGTCTCCGCGGCCATGCCCACGCAGGGGCCGAGGACGAGCGGTTTCTGGTGCTTCGGCGCGTTCCTCTCTACGTAGGACCGCACGGCCGCGTAGGCGCTTTTCAGGTGCGCGAAGGACGGCGATTTCGGCGCCGGCACGAGCTCCTCGGCGACCTCGACGGCGTAGAGCGCGCGGCCCGTGGCGAAGCTGTGGTTGAGCAGCTGCAGCGCGGACGCGCCGTCCCACGCGGGCACGGACGCGCTGTCGCCGAGCGCGCCCGTCGACGCGTAGGCGCCGGGGAAGTTGAGGCCCCAGACGAGCCCCAGGCCCGCGTCGGCCGCGAAGGCGTGGACGGCGTCGTAGCGCGCGCGGTCGAGGCAGAGCGTCACGTTCGACCCCCGGAACGCGTGCGGCGCCTCGCACCACGCGCGGTCCGACTCGTCGAAGGCGTAGCGCGCCTCGACGTCCAGGGACCCGCCGACGCGCAGGAGCCCCGGGGCGAGCTTCCTCGCGGCGGCGCGGAGCCGCGGCGACGACAGGTTCGCCGTGAGGACCGAGGCCCGGGCCCAGGAGCCGGCCTCGAGGCCCGTGTCGGGCCACCAGTCCAGGTCCACGCTGGCGTACTCGCGCAGCGTCTCGGCGACGAGGGCGTCGCCGTCGACGCGCACGTGGATCGTCGCGCGGGCGGCGCTGAGTAGCGCGAAGATTACTCGAGCCATCATTCCCATCCGGATCGACATCATCGCCCCCCCGCCGCCCGCACTGGATCAGGCAGCGCGGCTAGAGACCCGAATCTGGCAGCGCAGACTCACAATTCTGCCTCATGTGACTGCAACAAGTGTTCAGCATTGACCTTGTACGATTGCTCGAAACGACATGCTTCAAGGAGCTTGACTGAAACGATGCCGCGCCTGCCGCCGCTCGACGGCTCGGAGGTGCGCAGCGCGCTGGCGCCGTCGCCGAACGGCGGCGGCCGCTCGTCGCGCGTGTCCAGCGAGCTCAACACCGAGAAGCCGCCGAAGCGCAGCCGGTCGGCGTCGCGGGGCAGCCTCGCGACGCTGGCGCCGCCGTCCGGGCGCGCCAAGCCCATCCCCGTTGCCTGCCAGTCCTTCTTCGACTCGCTGAGCCACCTCCAGGATGACATCGAGGCCGGCGGCCACGGCAGCGAGTTCGAGTACTTGCAGAAAATAGAGGTCAACGAGCACATCTCGTCGCACGTCGAGTTCAAGCTCCGCCGCGACACGCTGTGTGGAAATCAAATCTTCAACCCGACTTCAATGTGAGCGTAATCGAACGGTTTGGACCAGACTCTTCGGCCGTGCTTCGAGAACTCGACGAGAGCCATCGATTTGTCCAACAGGCGACATGCTCAAGGCCGCCGTCGAGGGCCAGCTCGACAACGCGTCCGTCTACACGCTGCTGTGGGCGTCGGAGATCATCCACGACCACGCGGGCCGGCCGCCGCGGAAGGTCTTCGATTTGACGATGACTAGGCGCGTGACCTACCTCGCGGTGTTCATCCAGATCTTCGTGCCCCTGGCTTTGATCATCGTCGAACAGAACCACATGCGGCTGCCGTTCCTCTTCTGCCCCGCGGCGGCGCTCGCCGGGACGCGCGCGGACGCGCCGCCCTACGCGTTCAAGCGCGCCGTCTACGGCGCCTGCGTCTACGTGCTCGCCTGGCTCACGTGCCTGACGAACTTCGGGGCCGTGCAGTACGAGGAGGCCGCGTACCGGTTCTTCGCGCAGTTCCACCCGCCGCGGAAGGGCCGGCCGCCCGTGCCCGTGGACGCGCCGGACCCGGAGTGCTCGCGGTACGGCCTGTGCATGCTCGTGAGCGCGGCGGTGCAGATCCTGAGCTTCAAGCTCGTGCTCGTGACGCTGATCTTCCTCTTCTTCACGCAGTCGGACCTCATGGACATCGTGCTGAATTGCCTGGCGCTCCAGTTCATATTGGACGTCGACTCGACGATCGTGACGCCCATCCGGAACCGGGACCTCGTGGAGCGGGAGATGAAGAAGTGGTTCGAGGACTTCGACTGGTACGGCGACGAGATCAAGGCGTACCTCGAGCGCGACGCCGCGCGGCCCACGGTGACGTTCCCCGGCGTCGGCGACATGCCGTGCATCCGGCTGCTGCCTTTTCTGGTCGTGGACCACCGGGCGCCCGGGTTCGTCCGCGTGGAGCGCGCGTGGTTCGCGCGCCACTGGGCCATCAAGCTCCTCACGTTCTTCGACGGGCTCATGGTGCCCCTCGTGCTCTTCTTCATGGTCGGCGTCGGCTTCTGCGCCGAGTTCGCGTGGCCCGGGGACGACGACGACTAGGGGCTTCAGTTCCCGTGGCCCGGGGACGAAGAACGACTCGGGGCGCGCGCGCGCGTGGCCCGACGACGAAAAGCGACTAGAGGCTTAGGAGCGGCCGGCGGAAGACGCAGGTTTTGGGGAAGTCCGCGTTGGAGATGAAGTCGAGCATGTCCGTCTCGGGCGGGAGGGACGCGATGTCCGTGCCGTTGAGCGCGACGAGGATGGACGCGGGCTCGACGCCGAGGGACGTGGCGGGCTCCTCGACCTGGAAGACGACGGGGATGACGACGCCGAGGAAGACCGCGAACGCGATGCCGAGGCGGCCCCACTCCTCGAAGCTCACGACGTACTCCGTCGGGCTGCCCGGGAGGAAGGCGTGGAGGTAGGTCGCGAGCCAGCCCGCGAGGTGCTGCTTGCCCTTGAGCTCGACCCGGAACTGCGCCGCCTCGGACGTCACGGTGAGCACGTCGCCGTCGGCCGCGAACGATACGCCGGCCGCGTCCCAGCGGACCTGCGCGTCGGCCTTCTGCGTGCGGCTCCGCCCGACGTAGAGCGAGCTCCCGTCGCCCCAGAGCACGCCGGGCGTGGGCTTGCCCTTGGCCGGCGCCGGCGACGCGCCGAGGTGCGTCGCGTGCGTCTCGATGCCGTCGCGCAGCAGCTTGCAGACGAAGGACAGCGACTTCTCCGTCGCCGCGGTGCGCGTCGGTTTCACCTTCGGCGGCGAGCTCGCGCTCGCCGCCTGCTCCGTCTGGGCGCTCGCGCCCGCGCCCATGGGTGGCCGAACGACACCGCGCGGTTGCAAAGCCCACCAGGTGGCTGCCCTATGAAAAAAGGCAACGACGTCGTTGAATGGGGCAGCACTTTCACGATGGTGTGAGCGCTCTCCCTCGCCTCGACGATGCGGCGATGACGGTCGCGCTCCTCGCGCTCGTCGCGTCGGCGGCGCTCGCGGACGATGCCGCGCTGCGCACCGTCGCGGTCGACGACGCCGGTGACGCGTTCCTCGGCGCGCCCGCGACCTACGCCTACGCGGCCTACGCGCACCCCTGGCCCCACCCGGCCCTCGCCTTCGAGGCGAACTTCAGCGTGTCCTTCCCCGCGGCGCGGCGCTGCGGGCGGCCGCGCGTCGCGGCCTGCGTCCTGAGGCGGCGGAACACGTGCGGCACGGGGTGCCACTACTTCCAACACGCGGCCGTCTACCTCGCGCCCTGCCTCAGCTTCTTCGCGCGCTACGACGACCTCGAGCCCGTCGTCGTCGCCAAGGACGGGTTGTACTTCGGCTTCCACCCCTGGATCGTCGGCTTCTTGGAGGCCGCGGGCGCGCGGCTCGTCCAGCAGGCCGTACCGCGCTGCGCGGTCGCCGCGGAGTTCGACGGCCCGGCGGCGGACCTCGACGGCGGCGCGCCGCGCTTTTTGGGGCTCGAGCCCCTGCCCTGGGTCGCGCGGCGCGGCGACGTCGAGAAGCCGCGGCGCTTCCTCGGCCTCGCGGCGCGCGGCGCGGGCGCGCCGCTCTCCGTGGGCGTGCTCGCGCGGAAGCCGGGCAACGGCGCGCTCGCCGACGAGGCGGCCCTGGTGCGCGGGCTCGCGGCGGGCCTCGGCGTCGCGCCCGCGCGCGCGGTCTTCGACGGCACGACCTTCCGCGACCAGGCCGCGTGGACGCACGCGATGGACCGCGTGGAACTCGAATCTTCAACTCGACTTCAATGTGCGCGTAATCGAACGCTTTAAACAAGCATTGTGCTTCGAGAACTCGACGAGAGCAGTCGATCCGTCCAAAAATCAGCCGAATCGACTTCGATGTGGCCGAGCTAGAGAATTTCAAAGTTTGGTCGGGACGTCCTAAAGCAGCGGTTGATTTCCACGCAGGCGATGGACGTGTTAGTGAGCCCCCACGGCGCCCAGCTGACGAACCTGCTCTTCGCCGCGGAGTGCGCCGTCGTCGTCGAGCTCTTCCCCAAGTCCTACTTCATCCCGGGCTACTTTGGCGCGCTCGCGGCGAGCGTCGGCGCGCTGCCGTTCTACGGCTACCCGGGGCCGGATCCCGCGCGCGACGTCGCGGCGATCGCGGGCCTCGGCGCCGCGGAGGCGCAGGCGCTGCGCCGCGCGCCCGTGGACCCGGACGTGCCCGGGCTCGTGCGCTTCCTGCGGGACGTCGCGCTCCCCGCGCGCGACCGGTGCCTCCGCGGCGAGCCGCCGGCGCCGCCGCGGCCCGCCGCGGCCGCGGCGTCCGTCGCGCTCGCGGCCGCGGCCGCGGGCCCGCCCGCGGGCGGCGTGCGGGCCCTGCGCCTGGACCTCGCCGTCGCCGGCGCGCCCCTCGACGGGTCCCTCGCGCTGTGCGTCGCGGCGCTCGGCGACCGGTCGTGCCGCGAGCTCGGTGCGAGTCCGCACGCGGCGTCTCTCGACGTGCCCGCCTGGGTCGGCCCGCTGCGCGTCGGCGTCTGGCTCGAGCCCGCGGGCGCCGTCGACGGCGGAACGGCCTTCGCGCGCCACGCCGTGGATCTCGCGCTCGGGCCGCCGCCGAGTACGCGCGCGCGCCTATCGATCCGCGCGCCCGCGGCCGGCGCGTTGGTCGCGGGGGGCGTCGTGCCGACCCTCGAGGTCGACGCGACGGGCGCGACCATCGACGGCCGCGAGGTCGCCGCCTGCTACGCCGTCCTCGACCGGAAATGCTGCGCGCTCCTCTGGACCGCGCCGGGGCCCCTCCGCGCCGACGACGCGCTCCCCGCGGACGCCGCGCCCGTCTTCGAGCGCCTCGACCTCCCGCCGGGCGACCACGAGCTCGTCGCCTGGCTCGAGCACGCCAACGGCACGCTCGTCGCCTTCGACAGCGTCCGCTTCGGCGCCGTGGGCGCCGTAAGTTGAAGTAGCTTGAAGCGTTGGTGCTGTAAACGTCGGAGAGCGACCGATCGTCTCACCCTCAAGCTCTCGCGCGACGACCCGTCGCGACCCCGACACGTCTCATCGCACACCTCCGACGACCGCGACGCATCTCTCACAAAGACTTCTGACGACCTCATGGGTCTGGTACTAGGAAAGGAAGACGTCGACGACGAGAACACTCGCGCGGAGAGCCCGACGTTCTCCGAGCCCGACGAGCCCGCACCGCCGCCGCCGCCGGAGAAGAAGGCGGCGCGGCCCACCATGGTCGGCGGCACGAGCCTCTTCAACCTCTTCGCGCAGAAGGAGGAGCCCGCGGCGCCGCCGCCCGCGCCGAAGCCGGCGCCGCCGAAGGCCGACCGCCCGACGATGGTCGGCGGCACGAGCCTCTTCAACCTCTTCAGCCGCGAGGAGCCCGACGACTCCGCCGCGCCCGCGGAGCCGCGCGCGGGCATCCTCGAGAAGGTCGGCTCCGCGACGGGGTCGCTGCTGAACCTCCTCGGCGGCATGGGCTCCGACCCCGGCGAGGACGCCGAGGCCGAGGCCGCGACGAAGATGCAGGCCAAGGTCCGCGGCTCCCTGGAGCGCAAGAAGTCCGCCGAGGCCAAGAAGGAGCCGCCCAAGGCCGGCGGCCAGTGCTGCGTCATCGCGTGAGACCACGATCCCCCGACAAGACCAAGATCCCCCCCCCCCCTCGCGAGACGCGGCTAGCGGCGCCTCGTGGTAAACCTCGCGACGCCACCAACGGCACCTCGTTACCTCCCTATGCCAAGGTGGCCTCGGCGAGGTCCGGCTCGACGCCCGGGCGCGGGGGCCGGGCGAGGAGGATCGCCAGCGCGGCGAGCGCCGTCGCGACCGTGGCGTAGAACGCGTCGCCCGGCCGGTCCGCGGCCGCGAGCGCCGCGTAGGCCGCGCCGAGCCCGGCGGGCGCGGCGAGCCCGGCCGCGGCCTCGACGGCGCCCAGCGCGCCGAGGGCCGCGCCCGCGTCCCGCGCGGGCACGGCGCGCACGAGCAGCGCGCGGTGCGCGGGCATGGCCGCGGCCACGGGCGCCGCGAGCGGCACCAACGCGTACATCGCGCGCTGCGTCTTCACGGTCGCGAAGCCCAGCGACAGCAGCGCGGACGCGAGGCAGCCGAGCCGCGCCAGCAACAGGTCGACGGCGACGTCGCGGTCGTCGCGGCGCTTCGACCGCCGCGCGCCGCGCCGCGCGAGCGGCTCCAGCGCCACGTTCCCGACCGCCGCCGCGGCGCCGAGGAGCGACACGTACGCGCCGACCTGGGCCTTGGACCAGCGCCGCGCGAGGTACTGCACGGCGATGGCCCCGACGCCGACGTTGTTGCAGGAGACGAGGGCCCAGGCCGCGGCGAGCGCGCGCGCGTCGCCGCCCGGCGCGACGAGCGCCCGCAGGCCCGCGGCGGCGTCCGCGAACCGCGGCGCCGCGGCCGCGGGCCGCGCGCGCCGCGTCGGCGGCAGCGCGGCGACGACCCAGACGAGCGCGAGCCCGGCGAGCGCCGCCGCGGCGGCGAGCGCCGGCGCGTCGCCGTAGGCGTCCGCGGCCCAGCCGCCGGCCGCCGGCGCCTGGGCAGGAAAAGGGTGCGAAATTCCCAACTTTGGAGGCTCCTCTCTCGGTCGTGTTCCACTCGTTTCGGCTGATTTTGGACGAGCGATCATCTCTCGGAGCGCTCTCG